GCTCGCAAATATTGCAATTATCGTTACAATAGTTCAGCTGCGTATGCATACTTTGAATCGTTTTTTACTTGGTTTCAGGTTACCACAGCTACACGTCTTTTCGGGAATAAGGTCGATGAACAATTGGTCATGGAACGTACAGGCCACAGAAGCTCGGCAGTAAGGCTGTACAAGAGAACTTCTGACGGTCTTCAGAAGGAGATATCGGACATGCTGCAACCACCAGCACTGGACACGAAGGCCACGGGTACATCTTCCCCACCATCAAAGAAGATCGCAATCGAGACAGCAGATAATCAAGATGCCGCTAATGAACAGCGAATCAAAATTACATGTACTAACTCTGCGGGAAACGTCATTAATATCAGTTTGTAACAGGTCCAGAATAAATGACTAAAATGATTCTTGTTGTTACTTTTAGAAGTATAACAAAACCGTAGGTGTATGAAAAAACGGTAGGTGTATCCGCACATACACCTACAGTTAGAACAAAGGTATCCCATGGCAACGAGCCACAAGTGAGGTGTAATCCCTGGTGTCATCACTGATTTTTAAGTGAATCATTCATATCATTTTCACAGCATTTTTTCCCTTACACCAAACAGAATTTGTTTTGGAAGATAGTCGAGACTGGGAATCCTTCTCTATTTAACAATCAGGCTACCCAGCACATGTCTCTATTAATGCATCTCTTTTCCCTCTGTATCAATGCATCTCTTTTCCCCTCAATCAATATATCTCTTTCCCCTCTATCAATGCATCTTTCCCCATCTGTATCAATGCATCTTTCCCCATCTGTATCAATGCATCTTTCCCCATCTGTATCAATGCATCTCTTTCCCCATCTGTATCAATGCATCTCTTTCCCCCTCTGTATCAATGCATCTTTCCCCATCTGTATCAATGCATCTCTTTCCCCATCTGTATCAATGCATCTCTTTCCCCATCTGTATCAATGCATCTTTCCCCATCTGTATCAATGCATCTCTTTCCCTCTGTATCAATGCATCTCTTTTGCATCTCTTTCCCCATCTGTATCAATGCATCTCTTTCCCCCTCTGTATCAATGCATCTTTCCCCATCTGTGTCAATGCATCTCTTTTCCCCTCTGTATCAATGCATCTCTTTCCCATCTGTATCAATGCATCTGTATCAATGCATCTCTTTCCCCATCTGTATCAATGCATCTCTTTCCCCATCTGTATCAATGCATCTTTCCCATCTGTATCAATGCATCTTTTCCCATCTGTATCAATGCATCTATTTCCCCATCTGTATCAATGCATCTCTTTCCCCATCTGTATCAATGCATCTCTTTCCCATCTGTATCAATGCATCTCTTTCCCCTCTGTATCAATGCATCTCTTTCCCATCTGTATCAATGCATCTCTTTCCCCATCTGTATCAATGCATCTTTCCCCATCTGTATCAATGCATCTCTTTCCCCATCTGTATCAATGCATCTCTTTCCCCCATCTGTATGCATCTCTTTCCCTCTGTATCAATGCATATCTTTCCCCATCTGTATCAATGCATCTCTTTCCCCTCTGTATCAATGCATCTGTATCAATGCATCTTTCCCCATCTGTATCAATGCATCTCTTTCCCCATCTGTATCAATGCATCTCTTTCCCCATCTGTATCAATGCATCTCTTTCCCCATCTGTATCAATGCATCTCTTTCCCCATCTGTATCAATGCATCTTTCTTTCCCTTCGTATTAATGCATCTCTCCCACTGAGTACATAGCATATCCCAAGTGAAAACCAGAAAACCTTTTGATAGTTACAGCCATGTGTTATGACAATCATTGCTATTAACTTATCTTATGCCAACATTGTCTTCTTTTTGGGTTACAAATACTGTACATTCACTACAATTGTACAATTATCTGATATTTTTCGATAATAAGACGTTTTACTTCTAATAGGCCTATGCTTCCATATGGCAGAATTGTTTCATCAGCTGTAATTCATCTGTCAGTATCATCAATCACATTGTCACTACTTTCACAAACCAGTTAATTTTTCAGAGTGGCCTAATCTTAACTTTTCAAAAAATACAAAATTGATTACTATTGATGTGATCCCATTAACTTCTTGGGTGTATTAACAGCAAAGTTTCATATTTTATGAAAAAAGCTCAAACTTATGACAACATAATTGATTGCCCCCACCTCTTGACAAAGTAACAGAAGATCACAATCAGAATGTCCCAATAACCATCTCAAAAGTTTATAAGCAAACAGTGTTTATCTTTACAGAATGAATGCATACACACTTGACAAACTCTAAAACAATTCAGTTATCTTGCATCATATCACTCACTAACATCATGCCTAGGCTGTAATAGGATTGCACCAGCTGACCCAGCTCCAGACGCTGTTATAAGTAGGCGATATCTCCCAATCAAAGCCATTCACCAAGTGTTGGGGCCAGGATCATGTTACACATACATGATATAGTATATATGTTGTCACATGATTAACAGTGATAGCCGCAGCAATGGCTGGAATGTCCTTTCAGTAATACAATAAACACTCACCCTGAGGTAAGACTTTCTACACTTAACAGTAACTTAATCATTATCAGGAATGTGGATTTGTTTTAACCACTATGTAATGTATAAGTTTGTAAAACTGGAGGCCTTCATGTCATTATTATCTGATGTATCAGTATTTTATCTAGGGTATCATGCTGGCTTCATATTGACACTGCAGTTTCTGTTTAGATATTGAAATCAGGCTGGGATTCATATCCTAATAGGGAACTGTAAGGAAACAGTTAACAAATACCCCATATACATCCATTGTTGGATTTACGGCTATATACATTTTCAGTATTGTTATTATTGTTGCAGTCAATATATAAAATGTTATACCACAACAATAACAATTGTAGATTATCAAATGTAGCGTGTCTCCATTTTAAGAAGAATACCATCGAAATATTCACTAATATAGCTTCAATATTTAGTACTATACTACTCACAATTTGCTAAGGATCACAAACATTCACAACTTCACTTAAAATAGATCTATAATTTGAAATTGTATCCATTTATAACTGGATAGATAATAATATGGTAACCCATCTTTAGGCAAACAGTCACTTTAATCTAACCTTATGCACTTGATACATGAGTAACCATAAAAATGGTTTTAATGCTTTTAATGGCACCAATCAACCATTTGCAAATCATGGAACGAGTCATTGACAAGTACACAACACCTGTCAATAGCAGATATGGGTTCCACAAGATGAAATGACATACTGAAACCTAGGATCCATGCTTACAAGAAGCTTAGCTTATTTAAACCAAATTTGACAGCACATCATAGTTTTCTGTTGAATCCATGATTTGATCCTTAGCAAAGTGTGAATAGTATATTTCAAGGGCATGCCCCTTCATATCAAAATGCAGTCACATGCAATGATTATAGTTGTGGATGGTGATGTCACTTCACAAACAAAACTGAGGTAGCTTCAACATGAAACTATGGCAGCGACTGAACTCAGACTATTTAACATGACGAGACAGATACACAAAACAGTTCACTATCTCTTGGATCATTTCAGTTTTAAATGAAGTCTTGCCATCTTCTGCTATCAGTTAATGAGATTCCATGGCATAAATGGCTCCTTTAGTATGTGTTCCTTTATTTTTTTCTCTCAGTATAACTAAAGTTGTTGATAACAGATGAGTTGTAAACAATTGAGTAATATTTAACGTACATGAGTCTTGTTTGTATTCTGGTTTCCGTGGATACCTGACTTGTACATATGTATACTATCCACTAACATCAACACGAGATTGTCACATACTCATTACAGAAGCAAAGATTACATTGCATGGCAGACACATCTTGTTACTGTCTTTCAAAATTTTATTATATCTGATTCGATTAAAAAGAATTTTAGATTGACAATATAAGTTACAAAATTCCTTTTCATCAACGTCTTGGGTCAAAGGATGTGTACTTCAAATGAAAACACAAAAGGTCCCTACAGTTAAAGCTTCTTATTCCAGATGCTACTGTTCATAATGAAGTTGTCCAGATTAACACATTTTTGGATTAACGAACCATGGGTGAGAGCAATATTGAATTATTTATCAACCTTTCATGGAATGTACTGACTAACAAGGTTTCAACAAGCACCGAAACAGGATCTGGGAAAAGGGGTGCATTCAAAACACAAAAGTACTAGCACATGATTCAGAGACACGATTTGCATTTATTAGCAAATATTAGTCAATTGAATGTTGTGCTAAAACACATTACCAAATACATTACTATAATTATGTTTTGTACACTTCTAACCCCCAGTCTGAATTTGTCAGTCCAAGTTCTAATCCTTAAAGAGGAACAAGAGTAAGGAATTCCTAATTGATCTATGGAGTAGAAATGTAACAAGATGTATTTTCTACAATTAAAGTAATGTTTATACCATTTATAAGATCATTCTGCAAAAAATAACATAATATTGCCTAACCCTGGTTTAAGTCATTTCATATATAAACCCTAAACTAACACACACAAAAAATCTAAATCTATTTTCAAGACAGCCTACATGATAAATGTAAACTGTGAAATAACGTAAGTTATTCTCAGATAGTTAGTATGGCATAAGAGTTATCTACTATTGTTGATATCAGTCGATGGGTATCAGTGCACATTAAAGTTACTAGAGAGGAGTAGGCTTCTTCGTATATATCATCACAAACACTGCACTGGTCTACCACCATGGGAAAGGTCGTGAACTATTTTCAAGGTTTATGTGAAAGACATCCCCCTATACAAAGAATGCGAATACATGGGATCAAAGAACGGGTTCGCCATGACCTGTCACATGACAAGAGTCTGAGGTATGCGGTTGAGCCACCCACGCACCCAACATACCAAGAGGGTGCGGGGGTGGACACAAAACACACTTAAATTTCTTAACATGTGATTTTAAACGCCACGCATTCGGGTGTAATCGTCACTGTTTATGGCGTACCTGAATTGTGAAGAGGATAATTATACATCCAGATTCCAAGATTATGCATTTGTTTCGGTGACTGGTATGTTTAGATGGGTTTGCTTTGCTTTATAATCGCATAAACAGCGTTAGTGGTCACAAGCTTTATCACACGTTATGATGGCAAGCCGCCATTTTGTACAAACATATACTACGGCGCATGCGCAGGGATGTTATCCCATCACGTGGGTCTACCTGTCACTCAGGTATGTCAGTGTTGTTCAGGGTTGCGGTTAGATCAAAGAGCGGCCAGTTAACCACAAATATGTCGCTTATTAGTAAATGACAGGTAGGACTGTTTACACCTTAAATATAAAATCGCATCCGTCTGATGCTTCTGCTTCATTTACAACAATAACATTCAAAGTCAATAAGCTTTGCCTTTTATCAACATGCAACAGGCTATTACGCAATGTTTATTTAGCCCCCATAACTCGGCGTTGACTGAAATAACATGTCACCTCCAGTAATTGGGCCAGAGCGACAAACGGTAAACCACGCTGCCAGTCCATCACCGTACTTTGGGAGAATTACTCCGACGTAATTAGCAAATCGCAATAGAATAAGTTTATTATTAATTTATATACAGACGAAATGATGAACTGACATGTATAAAATACTCATTCTTACAGGTCTTGAAACAAAGTCCAAAATTCTAAGAAAATAGTATTGTCAAATTAAGCTTAGTTTAATTCCAGTACAATTGGCTAACGTAACTTAGATCATACTGTATGTTTTCACGCAACGGATCAGCTGTTTACCTGTCAGGCTTGAGTGATTTCCCTTTGTTCCTCCGAAGCGGAAGAAAGTTCCTGTCTAAATAAATACCTTACGCGCATGAGACGACGCATATTTAAACATCTAATTCATATCCGATATGAACTGTCCATGTCATCAATTAGAACTGGTTTGTAAACATGAGCGTAGTAGTTCCCTCCTCCGAGTCGAGTGCGTAAGAGGGTCTGGCCGCGGAGTGATATCGTGTGTAGGTCGTGGGTTGAGTCAGCCAGTAGGAGCGGCCAATATAAAGTTAACCGCTGACTACTTCCTCTCATTCATAAAACCACAGCCTAACCAGAGGTTCCGTGTCAGCCCGTCCTTTACAGTGTAGCTCACTAATATTTCACCACATGCATTTACCCACAGATTTGAACGGTGTTCCACCGTTCCCGGAGTCCCCCCATACCATGGCCGGAGAGGTACTGCCCGGGGTGCCTGGAGGGGAGCGGACCTACACCTCTATACTCGGTGACCACCCTGGGGAACTTGTACGCACCGGCAGTCCAAACTTTGTGTGTTCAGTCCTCCCATCACACTGGCGATCAAACAAAACTCTACCAGTCTCATTTAAAGTTGTCGCTCTGGGAGAAGTTAAAGATGGAACGAAAGTAAGCATTATGGCTGGGAATGATGAGAATTACTCTGCTGAATTAAGGAACGGTACCTCCTATATGAAGAACCAGGTTGCCAAATTCAACGATTTACGCTTCGTAGGAAGAAGCGGTCGAGGTGAGTTAGTGTACTTATTGTTTTGTGTCATGTAACAAACTTTCTTGCCTAACCTTGTTTTACGCCAATATGCACTTGCCCACACATCCAGTGATTAATAGATGCGGAAGTCGGATGGCGAGGGGTGAAGTATTCTATTCAGAGTCACAATGACTCAAGCAGTAACGGGAATTTACATACGCAATAGACTGGATGTTATACCACCGCTCTGTTCCATATATACAACCGCCTATTGTGCAGTTGGATATGCATGAATGTATGCAAAATGTTTCCCATCGCATTGTATCCGGAGAGGTATTTATATAGGCTTATAGCCTGTCTACCAATCCGTTCATTAAATAATGAATAAATATTGTTTAAAACGCATGTATTCTTCAACTACACATACACTGTACGATCTGTCATTCGCATGTGGGACATATATACACAGTGTCACGGGCCATGCATGTCACTATTATGAAACCTATTTTATTCTGTCTACCATTAACCCTCCATGTTCCACCGCGTGAACACCATCCTTAAAGTAGTTTTTTTTATAGCATCCCTGGTTACTTGTTTTCCTGTTGTATGAAATCATCTGTTTAATGTTGTACTTTTTTCCGGTTTTTTACGTCATCCGTTATGATTTGTGTGAAAGGAATTTTGGTTTCATAGAAAGAAGGAAGTGATTACCCTCCAACGCATGTCCCTTCACTAATATCACTGAATTAAGGCGGTACGGTTGTGTAATCTTCAAAGACGGATTGTAGTGATTTAGTTATTACGAACGGTAATCGCATTAAACAGCTCTCGCAAAGTTTAACACAGGATACCAAAATAATGATCACACAACTATCATTACTATGATTAATTGTGATAACTTCGTAAGGATTCGTTTATTATTCAAATACACTTTAGGTGAAATCCTCTTTTCTCCTAATAGCTATACATTGTATGTAGTGTTCATCTTTTTGAAGAAAAACTAACAATTTCCCATCAATGTTCTGGCACGTATTCTGGTATTTGATTACGGAGTCGCGTTTAACTTAATCATGATGAAGTTTACTGTTATGTAGAGCCCCTGCCGGCGTAATAGCTCGTGTATGTCAAAACATGGAAGGAAGCGCTGGGATACACACAGATATGGCTAGGACCACCATTCAACACTGAGCTCTTTACACTTATCTCGATGTGACTTTTGTAACGAGGGGCATATCAAACAGATCAGTGTGTACAGTCACTTACACATGTGTCAGACTGAACATGTTCCAGGGATTCTTCACTTCCATATTCCTGGAATTGTCCTGACAATACATGAAGTTGTAAATGTTAACTCTTTAGGGATGAGATGAACAGGCAGTTCCTAACAGTTGAGGGGTGACAAAGGTAGACACTGTGTATGGAGAACTACTTCTTTATCACACTGTATTAGTGACGTTTCGGTGCATATCCTTAAACCACTGTCAAGCAAGAATGACTTAATGGGTATGTTCCAAGGACAGTCACACAAAGAGGTAACGGTTATCACTGGTGTTCCGTGTCGCATCTACGTTGTTTAATAACACCTGCTGTTTATTGCCTAACAGACGAATGTTCTGCTCGTGTGGCTCTTACTTCCCACTGGCATTATCTGTTGTCGCGTTTAGGCTCCAGACGGTGGGATTATAAATGTACCGGACGCCAGGTCTTCAAAGGCAGAAAACAATCCGCAGGGAAATATATGATTTATATATATTGGGCTTTCATATTTATTTGAAATTTTGGCAAGTTCATGAAATTGTAGGATTTAAAGTTTCATTGTCTTCGATAAAGTAAGACGATATCACCAATCAATATCTAATAGTCTAATGTGCAATATACATTTTATTCAATATGTAGATGTTACATTGTGTGAAACAATATTGTTTTTACTGCCGTGTCTTTGTTACAGTTACGTTTGTCTTTTTGCAACAGTGTGGAAATTTTGAATCATTGTGTGGACAACCTTGGGACAGTGGATGTCATTACTTTGTTAGCTGTGTGCCAACTGTCAGTGAAGGATGTACCACCATCAATTATCATCTCGCAGAACTGGTGTATATTTCAGCCCGTATTTCCTCCTGTTGGTATAAATATCAGTTAATACATGTAAATTTCAAAATCGGCCGTCAATTTCTTCAACATCACGACCAGTTAATGTTCGAATTCGCCACCGCCAAATATAAAGAGGTACATGCCGCTCCAACTCATGCATTTAACCCCAATTATTATTTTCATGCTATTTGTGACCGCCTGTTATGACATCTTACCCCTCACAAAGAAACAAAGACCCGAGGTCGGGTATGCAAATTAAGAAGAAAGGCGACATGAGATGAGGCATCTTGAACGACGCTCGTAGTCTTACGGGGCGGACAAAGCCGTCACACGGCATGATGCCAATGTCTTCCTCTCCTAGTGCTTCGCCTAATTAGCAAGGGCAGCCAAGACACGCAATCCGCGGCATTGTTTTAAAATGACATGGACAAAAATGAAAAGCAACAACCATATTATTATAGTATCGGATGGCCCCCATCGTCTTGTCTGACATCCGCGCCAAGTGATAGTGCGTTTGACGTTGCAGGTGCATGGCCAACGGTGCCAGTTAGCTAGCCAGCGAGTGGCGGTCTCTTCGACCACAGCCCCCTGATACGGCTGGCTTACGGCGCTTTGCGGGATATGTGGTCAACCGCCGCTACCATATAGCCGTGCTCAAAGGAGAACGCACAGACTAATTTGAAATCGAAAAAAAGTATCTGACAATTTTTTCGGAAATTAAGATTTATTACTGTCAATAGGGACTCTTGTGTTTTTAAATTAAGTTTTGAATTTGTTCAACATTTTGATATTTCTTTCTGTGAACTGATTATTCCAATTATGGTTCGATTTCTTTAAGATCATACAGAGATGTTATTTCAAATATTGACTTGTTCGTACTTAAAATGTGTACAATTTGAACGTTTGTTCACGAATTAGGGCCGATTACTCACGAAAATTCGGCGTTTTGGCCCAACTCGAGGAATACGTGGAATTATGGAATTTCCCTTAATGAAGTTTTGGATTATGTGAAATTAAGAGAGGCGCGTGCCACAGGAAATGCTCGAACTGGAAAGCCCTTTTGATGTTTTAATTGGTACGTTGTGGGATGCTGGATTCTTGCACTTCTGGAAACCTGCCATCTCGTGGACCCGCCGTTGCCTCGGGTGCGGCTTGAGCATTACAGTTTAAACATCGTACAATGGTTTTGTGAGGACGGCGCAAAAGAGTTCATTTAAAAGCTTTTTGAAGTTTCCCAAAGACTTTCAGGAACTGTGACAGGAATGGGTCATGACCTCTTTATATCCTTCAAGAAAGGTCACCCTTTATTAAATAACGACTATGGGATAACGTCAGTTGTTATTTACATCATCATGTGTCCAGTGACTAACTATTACGCATTTACCTATCAGCGTGCATATAACCACAAGTATGCATTTGCACTGTGCGACTTCGTTGAATAACACGAACATAATGGTTTCCTACGAACTGAGGAAAGCTTGTTAGAACCTGAGAATAACGATCCTGGATTAGGTTTGATAAACACACACGATAAGTTAACATATATATATACATCGAAAAGGAATATCAAATAATATATATAATACGTAAAGTTCGTAGTACATACGTTAACTTGGATACTTACGTCTCCTGCATCAATAGTTTTCCGGTAGACAGTATTTTGTAACACGATTTCAATTTGTTCCTCGTGAACATGTCAGATGTCAACCCATTTCTTCGTTCATCCAGTGTATTATATTTGCATGATTGTGATAATATAATGAATATATATTATGCATAGGATAACCGAGTGTGCTGTTTGTGTCAATATTTACGTCCCGTTCAGCAATGTTATCTCGTGTGTCGGGCCCGTAGTTCGCCTTAGGGCGAGGGTGTGTCATCCTTGATGTCGCCCCTAAGCCACAGCTTGTGTGCATTTTACTAGTACAGAAAGGCATGAATAGTATTTACACAGTTAGCCCGATGAGACATCGTTCAGTACGCCTGCACTTAGCGTTGTATACGAAGTACAGGATTCCACGTTGGTTACGTCAGGTGAGGGTGAATATGTTTGTGCACGGCGGATAAATCAACGTCAGACCAAAGACATCGATTTGAATTTTAATTCGGCAAAATACCTAGCTCTTATCGCAGAAGTGAAGATCTCTATTCTTTTGTTAGCATGACAATTGGGAAATGTTTTTGTTAAGCCTGAAAGCCCTGCTTTAGGAAAACACTTGTGCTAAGTGAATATTACGATTAAGTGGAGTCTGGGCGTATTTTTTATGCGATCGTATCGATAGACTTTGAACAGGGGGCGTAGTTTGGTCAATATCTGAGCACTGATATTCATTAAGATACAGTATTCAACGCCACATATATTATGACAAATAACAAATCATGTATTAAGAGGCGACGACTGTCAAAGGGGTGCTGGCTGTAACTCGGCGACTCCGGTCGTGGCAGTAGAAGTATTGGGCATGCAGTAACCAAAAGCTTCAGGATTGTTCGAACCAAAGAAAATTGACAAGACATGAAATATCAACGGACAAAGACACTCGAGTCTCTTGGTTTGGGTTTTGATTGATTGAAGAAAGCGGTTCAGCCGCCATAGAGGCAAACCCATGTGTGAGCCTGCTACGCCTTGATTGCATTGTCTTGCATAACAATAAGAGTCTTTCTGGGGAAGGAGCTACACTGCGAGTTGCAGACAGTTAACAAAGACAGAGCGATATGGCAGATGTGCGCAAAAAATTTCGCTTTTCACTTCTTTTTCTGAGGCGACTACACGCTATGTTATTTTCATAATTCCCACCACGATCGGACACTGTACATAAAGGGGATGTGTAATTAAAATAAATACACGGTCCCTTTCACGGAATCAAACTGTCGCGCGTGTCTTTGGTCGCGATGTTTACACGACAGTGGGAATGGTGCCTATAGTTGGTCCACATCGCTGAAGGCTGTTGACGTTATATTGCTCCTTTAGTCGGGAGATATACTGTTTATTGCCCACCTGCCCGGTTCTACCAATAACACACATTTGACCTTTTCAAACACCCACTGTAATCAACACCACGGGGAATTAAGGCCGCATGGATTCTAGATCGACGCGTGGTTGTCGCCGCAGATTTTAACTTTGGCAGGAAATCTTGCGCAATGTTCACATACATATATAGTATGTTACAGCGTTGTATCGGAATACTTGGGTCGAAGACGTGATGGTCATCGTCGTCTGCTCTCCGCGTGCCCACTCGCTGACATTTGTGAAATGACGATTGCGGCGATGTGTGGGTTGGATTTGATATTTATGCACGATTTGCGAGGGTGAAAACATTCGACAACCGTTCGACCGCAATTCTGACATTTTCAATTACTGAATATCGATCTGTTTAAAGTTAAAATTTCATTTCACCATCCGAAATGAGCGAACGTTTCACAATTCTTCGTCCGACCAAGGACTAGCATTGACTCTATAACCCGTGATCAGAAAACAATTATGAGTTCAAATTCATGTTTTATTCTATTATCTCTTAATTCATATTTTGCTATTTGTATTTTCTAATCCGACAAATACTATCATTATCCAGATTGTTCTCGTAAACATTGATTTTGTGATTTGCGACCCTCTGATTTTTTTTCTGCTTTCAAACATGGCGAATGCATAACCGTGAAAATTAAACCGATTGTCGTTTATGTGCTCGTGTCGAATGATTCAAGGCAAAATAATACATCCCTGATACAATTACACCCAAACACAGACCTGGGGAGCACGCAATCTCAATATCGGCTGCGAATTAACAGACATGTTGCTTGAAGTCAATTGTTATCAATGGACCGACGAGAGCAGAGGCCGGGAACATACAACATTGACCTCTGAACCCAGGTGTGACCTTTGACTCCAGGTCGTAACTTTTACAAGTACTACAGAGGTGTACATGTTGTAAGGATATGGCGACGGATTTGTCTGATAGGAATGTGGTTAGAGCGCTCGTGTTACACTGACTCATCGGCATAACTGTTTGAATCAGTTGTGTTGACCAAACAATTCCCATAACACCCACGTGATGACCTTGGGTATATGGAGCAACGAGAATATCAGATCATGTGCTTATGTCACATTTCATTGAGGAAGTTCCATGGCGTATCTGCAGTCCTTCGACGTCAATCAGATAACGCGCCTCCGACTTGTCTCACCTGGTGTCACTTGGTAGACACTTGTTATATATACATACAGTAATTTTTTGTATTACAGTTTTATTCCATTGAATTATTTATCTTTATATCTCAAATCAAAGGTCAACAACCTGTCTAACGTTCTATCATTTTGATCTCCACGTAATTACATTTTGGAAAAAAATAAATGTATAATACCCTTTTTTTTAAAAAAACATCTCTAAAATCTTGATGGTGAAGTGTGCAAAATAATAAATCTGTGCCTCCAAGACAAAACTAGCAATAAACTGCATGCAGTTGAGATTTATCGTTTGATAAAAACCTTGTGTCTGTTTAACATCTGTCAGTGCCTCTCTCTGGTCAATATTGAGATGACAAGTCTGGAGGTATTCACTGTAGGGAGGTGACTAATGCAGCAGAGCGAAAAGAACAATTGCCCCCAAAAAACATTTTCAATTTATTTTATGATTCATATTTACAATGGGGAACAGTTTTCACTCTCATGCCAAACATTTATTTGAATGGGGGAAATTACTCAGGCACAACATCTTAATATGGTGGAAATTAATCTTACACCAGTCGGCTTCCTTTCAGTGGAAATATAATGATTAGGAGTAATAAGGAATGATATAAATCAGGGGACAGCCTGGGTGATGTACTCAGGTGTGATGGTTCAACAGCTTAGTTGCTGCACACAACCTGAGTGTTACGTGCCATTAAACAAACTACAATACACCTATTTAGATGAAACAACTGATAGGGCTTCAAAATGTTTCAAAGAGGTCGAGACAGTGTTTGAGACCTTTGACCCTTGACAAATATATTAAATTATGACCATTAATTTTTAATAACATATTGTAATGTTTGTTTTATTTTAAAAAGGCCTTTGTTAAATTTGAAATTTTGAAAGTAAATTTTCAAAGCAATAAATTATATTTTCTTTTTCCAAAAAATAATTGAATTTTTTCAGATCAGTCAACAAACGAATACATTGTTTAAGGAGCTTTGTAGATGGAAAATACAAAAATTCGTGGTCATTATCAAAGGTTTAAATGTAAATGTCATTGTTAAAAAACAGATAGCCGAAGGATCAGCGTTATCGGTAACCCACATGCACGTGGGTCATGGCCTACTGCACCCTCTCAACATCTCGTGTGGCTGTTTTTAGTGGTTATTAACAGGTTCGCTGGCGTGTGACCAGTGGTCCCCAGACACCAATATTATCAAGGCTTTTTCCTCACAGTGATACATGGGAGCTTAAAAAAATATTGGTTCTTTGAAACTAATAGTATGACACCCATTGAAATGTGGCGATAAAGTATTGATGGAATATGATAAACAATATGGTTCCGTAATGATGACTTTGTGCAGCCATCAGGGCAGCCATTGTCTGTGGGCAGGACAGCTCTCATCTCCACCGAACATCACCTGTAAACAGTTAGTCCTGATGATTTATAATTAATGGAAAACATAAATCATTCAGTTCTGATGGGAATTAACTTTGGCTGTTTAGTAATTGTTTCATAGATATTTGGTTAAGATTACTTGTGTTTTAGTATCATTTTGGTTGTGTGTCATGTTAATTTTCTGTAGATGTCTTTGTATGTATTTTAAAAATTTGTTCTTAAAAAATATAAGTCTTGTCATTTTTAAAAGATTTTATGACTTGTAGTACCGATGAGGCATCTTGTCAATGACTGGAATAGATTTTATGACTGTGATTATATTTGTGTTACTCACAAGTCAGGAAAATATTCATAATGAGACAATAGATTTCATCATTTTGGTATTTATTTTTAACATCCTGTATCAGTTTATTCAAGGTTTCCATTTGAAAATAGACATACTCTCCCATTTGAGAGGAAATGGGTCCTCATTGGTGTATTTAAGGTCTGATACCCACATAACTTGGAAATGTTTAGATTTGTTATTAATGTTGTATTGTTACAGTGTTGCTGTTTGACAACTTGCCATGTTATACTGACTGTAATGTACTTGCCATGGTATACTGACCGTTATGTACTTGCCATGTATACTGACCGTTATGTACTTGCCATGGTATACTGACCGTTATGTACTTGCCATGTTATACTGACCGTTATGTACTTGCCATGTTATACTGACTGTTATGTACTTGCCATGTTATACTGAGTGTTATGTACTTGCCATGTTATACTGACCGTTATGTACTTGCCATGTTATACTGACTGTTATGTACTTGCCATGTTATACTGACTGTTATGTACTTGCCATGTTATACTGACTGTTATGTACTTGCCATGTTATACTGACCGTTATGTACTTGCCATGTTATACTGACCGTTATGTACTTGCCATGTTATACTGACCGTTATGTACTTGCCATGTTATACATGTTATACCGCTATGTACTTGCCATGTTATACTGACCGTTATGTACTTGCCATGTTATACTGACCGTTATGTACTTGCCATGTTATACTGACCGTTATGTACTTGCCATGTTATACTGACCGTTATGTACTTGCCATGTTATACTGACCGTTATGTACTTGCCATGTTATACTGACCGTTATGTACTTGCCATGTTATACTACTGTACTTGCCATGTTATGTACTTGCCATGTTATATACTGACCGTTATGTACTTGCCATGTTATACTGACCGTTATGTACTTGCCATGTTATACTGACCGTTATGTACTTGCCATGTTATACTGTCCGTTATGTACTTGCCATGTTATACTGACCGTTATGTACTTGCCATGTTATACTGACCGTTATGTACTTGCCATGTTATACTGACCATTATGTACTATTATGTTCCAGGCAAGAGCTTCTCCCTCACTATCACAGTCAGCACCAACCCACCAGAGGTCGCCATCTACCAGAAAGCCATCAAAGTTACCGTGGATGGCCCACGGGAACCCAGAAGTAAGACAAGTAAGGGTTGACTCCAACTCGATCTCATATGCTTGCTCAAACACCTTATGTTCTGGGTTCGAATCCCAGTTGCACCTTGGTTTGTCGGTGTCATATGTGTGACTGGACTCTATCTTAAATCTTTTCCAATCAGACCTCTCACTCTCTGTATAGTGACAACGAGTGCTCTGATTGGATTTAATGAGATTGCTACCTGTGTCACCTATGGCTTTTCTTCCACATGCAGCTGACACAGTGGTATCAATAAAACATCACAAAACAGCCCCAGCTGAACTCGCCTGGGCCCTTACACAGACACTCCTAAACATTTAATTCTACCAGAGAAAAAAATAAAAATCTGAAAACAAATTATTAATATGATTGGGTATTTTAATATGACACATAATATGTGTATTTTTGGAATAAATTAACATTTTAATGTTTTTAATTCATGAATATTGATGATTGCTCAATGTAATAATAAATCATAATTTATTCATGGATGAGGTAATAGAAAAATGTATGACATTAATCTTTTCATGGAAGTAATTTTTTTGATATTTGACACTGAAATTTTAATATGTTTTTTCTAATTATTAAATAATGTAAACTTTTTAAGAATCAAAAACAGTATTTATGCTGGAAGATCAGGTATGAGTCACACAGGACCAGCTTTGTGATACTCTGCTTCGTCAGTATTAGAATAGCTCCAACTTGCCCCGTTTATTCATGAACAAACACTGAAGAACTGAGGACATTTTGCAAATTGGTTCATTAAGGACATTTGAAAGAAAAAACTGGATGGTGAAGTAGGGATCTCATTGGTGTATTATCAGTGTTCCAAGTGTTTGAAGAGGGCAATCACGGCTAGTTAAACACCAACACTAGCTGCCTACAAAACCATAGTGTGGCCGGTGCAGCAATTCGGGCTAACCCACTGCACACAAAAAAACGCACGTGCATTCTCTCACGAGGTCGAGGGATGCCCCAACCACACAAAGAAGCCATGCAGAATGGCTTTGAGGATGAAATAGATGGAGCTCTTAGTTAGCCACCAGCTAAACTGAAGGTCATTTGAGACACTAATGTTTGTCTATTCAAGTGTCCGTCACAGCTGGTCAAGGGCCAAATGGCTACTTTTTCATTCAATGACCACCTTGTCATCGTTCATGTGACCACTACGGTGATTTGTAAAACATGAAATGGACAGTATGAGCTGCAAATGAGCAAATCTCCCATCAGCTGCATGTATTGTTAAAAAACAGCATTGTTGGTTTCTCTATTTCCACCTGGCCCTCAAAGCTGAACACTCGGGACTGTTCTGAATGGAGCTTAGCTTGGCAACAATCGCCCTGCCTGATAAGTGCTGGAGTCTGTCATTATTTGTCATCCATCAATGTTAAAGATACACTGAGGCCACTTGTATGTACTGGATGTCGCTACAACAGCATGTGGACCTGCTCATTGCAGGCTGGGCTTTGTGTTGCCTGCGACTACACGCTTACCTCCTTCCCCGGTGTGTGACCCCCTCAACAAACCCCTCCCACTGACACCCCTGTGACACCCCCGTGACTCCCCTTGTACACACCCAGTCCCTCCCCAGCACACCCAACACTCCCACCTTGCACTCCAGTCTCGCCTTTACTCCACGGTACCCAAACTACATCCTGCCGTCAGTTTTATATTTTGATAATTTGCACACAATTCTGCAAACTTTTAAGCACAGTTTTTGTGAAAGTTTTGCCCCTGTTTGACCAGTGGCAGCCGTTTTGTGATAACCTTCCCCATGACTGGAATAGCTTGTTGGAGTGGCTCTGGCATTCAGGAGTGTGACATACATACAGCATAAGTAACTTATCTTCAAAATATAATCAAAATATTGAATTCATTTTTTCATCAAATCATGTTAAAAATGTTAAAATCAAAAGAATATTGTGAATTGGTTTACATTTTTCTATTTAACACAAACATGTCAAATAGATATTATAAATGATTTAGTTTGAATAATGTACATACTGGAGTTACACATTTCAGTAGATCTGTGTAACTCTTTACTTTTGTAAATTACATGATAAAATTCTGCCATGTATTTCATGAATTCTGTTGCAGGTAAATACAAAATTCTGCCCATGTTCTGCAAAATTCAAACTAGTCAGCTAGCCTGAGACAACTAAACTGACTGGTAGCATTTCATGATTTCTCAAGGAACTGAATAATCCTCAAGTAGATCTCTGATGACATGTTATGTTACCACTGGCCCTCTGATCTAGTCGTAAACCACATTTCTAAGGCTAAGTGTATCTTCCAGAGCTACACACGGATGACCGTCGCATCCACCACCGAGTTGGGCCCCTGGAGCTGACGCTGGAGAGGAGCCCGCTCACAGAGCCACTTGTGGATCGCAGGTTTGCCCATCTTGCCGAACTAGAGCGTCTTCGCCGCGTGTCGTCCGGGCCAGCCGATGTGAGACCACACCATACCACTGACGTTAACGGACTACCCCCAACAGGTACAGGCAATGCCTTAATGGGCTAATTTATTGGGTTGAAATACTGATTAAAAAGAAATGTGGTTATGTGTAGTCTTTATTACTTGGAAACACAAAGATATATGCTCCAAACACAAACTTGAAGGTCATCTGTATACATGTATATGCAAGTGAAATTGTCATCCTTTCTCCGTTTCCTTATCTTTAGACGGTCACTTATAGTTTATCAATATTTGTATTTTGTGGGAAAAAAATGGAAAATAATTTTTTTTTTAATATATATTTGTATATCACTGAATGTCTCCACAAAAGAATATGTAAGTATGAATCATCTACTGGTCCACTGGAGGACTTGCTGAAGTTCAATAACAAATGGCCCTTGGCAATTTACACATGTCGCAAACTGATGGCTACTAAGTCAAAATGGTGTAGAAAGTTTGGGAAGGATTCAGTAAGCCTGTTGAGTTTGTTTTTATTTCTATTTATATTCGTGATCTGTCTTGGATTGTTAAAAATATTTAAAAACCTTTTAATTTGCTTTTAGTGATTTAACTTTCAGTTAGCGTATCATAATTTTTATTGTCCAGGAAAAATGCCAATCGCTTTTTTCATGACATACCCTCTTGAGAAAAACATTTTTCTGTAATCCTACCGAAAAACATTAAATGTTAAAGATAGTGCTTTGAATACTATAGATAAGTGACATTTAAGATTTGTCCTGTTTCTTATTCATATTACAAATATATTTCATTCTCTCATGGTAGATCTTAAATGTTACTTAAAGAATAAAATAATATCTCTCCATTGCTATTTAAATGTGATATTTGCATGATTTTTTTCTCAGTGTTGTAATGCATCTGAAACTTTATTTTCCAGAAGTTTTGATGAAGCAGTTAGAAAGTACCAGGGGAGGGTGGGGCGGCTACGACACAGTGCCGTACACGAAGGATGTCATCTACCCCACCATCACCACCCACAGTACCCCACTGTCTCAGTCACAATCCGTCATTGTCTCACATCTCGCTGGTACGTTGTCAGTGTCCTATATTCTTCCAATCCAGTGGCTAAGTCTAGTATAGTTAACAACTGCCTACTCTAGCCTCCATTTTCATTCATGTTTTCAATTCTATTTTTTTATTTCATGAAACAATGCATCCATAACATTTCTAGCTTTTCTCCAGTGAAGCAAATGCATCCTTGCCACAATACATGTTATTTGTCATGTTTGTTTCATGACAACCCTATACAATACATTCAGTTACATTTCCCCCTGTATTTATGAATTACAGAAAATGTGAATGACATAAATTCAAAATGTGATCTCATTACTAAAATAACTATTTCCATTTTTCAGCTGCCCATTCCTCTGCTGTAGAATCTCGTGAGCGTGAATCTCGCCTCCAAAGCCTGCAAGACCACCCAGTTGTTACCACGCATAGCCTTGTGCCTCATGAACGTCACCTACCCCTGGTGCCAGAGGCTCAAAGACCAGACTACCCTAGTCTAGAGCCACGCCTACCAGTAGAACGCAGAATCACTATAGAATCTCGGCTCCCTCTTGTGTTGCCACCATATGCAAATGCATCCGATGTTCGCTTAAGTGACCCGCGTATACCAGAACCCTTGTACCCAGAGACAAGACCCTTGTTTGTACCCCCTCAGACTCTGCCCTACACTGTCAGCAGTTCCAACCTGTCTATACTGGAGGAGAGTCGGGCAATCTCTACCCTGCCCCTGGCAGTTACTCATGGCACATATCCTGGTATGACTCCTCATGAGTTCTTCAGTTCCATCAACCCTCCAAGCTCAATTGCAGCGGCTGCTTCCTATTTAGCAGGAAGTCCGCCCCGAGTGCTGCCCCCTACCTTCCTGTACCCTCATCTGTATAGCTCCTCCCCACAACAGTATCAGACTCGCCTCTACCTGCCCACAGGGGAGGTTAGGACATACGAGGTGCTTGGGCAGAGGCCGTCAGACCTTCCCCCAAAGGTTGAGAAACCGACTCCTGTATCCCCGTCCTCACGTTTAGCACTTGAGGGACCTATTGCTCGACCTGTTCGAGATGTTGAACTCACTGAGGAAGGAACAGGGTCTTCCGATTCATCGAGAGACATACCACCAAGACATGAAGACTCGGAGTCGTCAAAGTCTTCACCAAGAAGACCTGGGCATGATGAACCAGCACCTGTGTGGCGGCCATATTGAAATGGTTTTTGAAATGTGATTTGGGAGTGTGACAGTTGGTCCTATCCAACTCTTGTGCCTTGTTGAAGTGTTCATGGTTTGACCTTGACCTTCAGATCGAGACAACTATTACAGTGGTTCTGGGCATAATGCAGTGTATGAGAAATTCTTGCTCAGCTCTGCATACCTGGGGAAATTGTGCCATTGATACCGACAGAGCTCTTGGGTTCCTGGACTGAAAGGCGAAGGGAACAGTGTTTGAATTGAGAACTGCAAAGCAGAGACATCTTTGAGTTTGACCTTGACCTTATCTTCAGCTCCAGAACCTGTTCTATAATGACGAGCCACAACGTTGTGCTGGTTCGAGACCATTGGAGGAGAGCACTGGACCGGAACAATGCACCAGAACGTTACAGTGCCAGAGCTCTGAATGCATCATGTCAGCAGAATCCTGGCTATGAGCATTGTGTGATGAAGAAGACCAGCCATTCCATGGGGTCAGAGTATTATGACAGGTGGTCATGAAATCCTGTGTTGAATATTTGTACAAATTGTGTTGTTGATAAGGCTTAAAGTGTGGTGCTGTTCCAATGACAAGATCAAATTTGGTGCCAACCCAAAACAATGTATTGACCATAATGAATGAGAAAGGTTTACTGTATTAGTGGCGGATCAATAAGACAATTATTGATTGTGACATGTTCCCAAGCTGTGAAGGCAGAATAAGAAATTGTGGAAAATATGTTGAGTGGTACACAGTTTGGAAAAGTATTACAAGGAGATTTTGGTCAGCTGTTGAGTTGTACCTGGTTTGCAATGGTTTTAAAGATTTGGTCAGCTGTTGAGTGCAACTTGACATTTAAGTTATATATTTATTTGAAGACTGTTTGATGTTTTAGGACTAAAACAATCTACAATATGATTGCTTTATTATATCATATCACCATTTAAGCAGTTTCTCCAGTTGATGTTTTGTGATATGTTTAACATGAATGAATAATTCATGACACATGTTACGTATATCTTGGTGAATTGTCTCAGTCTTTGTCATGGTAAGGTATTGTTCAGTATTGTGTGCCTGGCAATTGGGAGTAGAAGTTTTGATACATTTTTAATTGTTTCCATAACACTGTTTCCTTACGGTAGTATTGTCCGTGATCCAGCAGTACTCCACTGTTGTTACAGGTGTGACTTACAGCACAGTAATTACAGGTGTGACTTACAGCACAGTAATCTACATCAAAACTTACTTGTTTCTATTCAAATTTTCAAAAATGGAGTAGAGATGTTCAATTTTAATCTTATTTGAAAATTGTAATTTCTCAGTTGAACAAAAGAAAAGAGTATAAAGAAGTAACCTTAGCATGCTGGATGACTTGGTTGACTTGGTGTGTTTTGTCTTTCCTGAACTGTCCACCTGTGTGTCCACCTGTATGTCACGTCTTGGAAGTGTGTCTGTCACTCGGTATTACATTCAAAGGTCACCTGTTGTGATTTCTACAAACATTCAGTTTTAATCTGGTCACAAACTTAAAAACATTCTTAAAGGTTTATATTTACATGTAAATAATAGCTTATGTAAATAGAGCATCATTTACACAGCTGTATTCAGCTTAGTACAAACATTATGTGGAGACCAATACACAATGGGGATTAATCAAAATTTTACAAATCAAAGGTATTTTGTACTTATGAAGGTTTCTGTAAAACAGAGTTGTGAGCACTGCAAGGCCCTTTTTGGGCATGACAATTTGAACAAAGGACTTACCAATGCAGCTTGAGTATTGGACCTATTTTATCCATAGAAACGCTGCGTCAGTATTATATGCGTGATTGATCACATTGCTGCAACGTATATAACTCATGAAATTGATATCCACACTTTGCTTTGAAAGACATAAAAGAAACTGAATTTTTTTATTGCCTAAGTTTTTCAACAAAAACGAACTGAGTGAAAATAATTTGAATGTATAGTTTGAGAAATTTGTTTCAAGAGACGGTGATCAAAGACTAATATATAATTGTTGTTTTGAACAACCATCAGCATTGCTGACTTTTTTAAAGCGATGTAATGTTTTACCTTTACAAAGTATACCTTGTATTTGAAGATGGGAATTGTGATGAGTCTCTCGTTATTGAAGCCTGCAGTTCAGTATTCATTAGTGATGAACGTTTGTCCCCGCTGCTGCACCCTGGAACACTCATATACCGTCTTCACACATGGTCCTAAACAATCGTGATTCTGGAAACAGATTTCTGCCTATGCATTGATGAGCATTCATGAACAAAGTATTGCTGAATCGCAACTTCCCTGCTCCGCTGTACTATAAGGATGATGCTATGAGTGTTCCCTGTTACTGGAGTACACAATACTCACGTGTCCGTGTACACATGGATACTGCTCAACACACACCCTTCTCCTGTATAAAGGTGTCACAAGATATATTGACAAGCATTTGTGAAGCCGGATGACGTCGTCCATTATTCCGTGATGTCAATGCCCCAGCATTGAGAACTGCTGATCGCCATTCAAACGTGACCTTGTAAAGTGCTCATTAGTGATAGTTGTGATTGTTTTGTCATATATTTATTTTTTTGTACATTTTTGAGTGCTTTACCAAAGATAAGAGAAGCGTCATGTCAACAATTGTCATTGTCATTGCCATGTTTGTTCTGCCAATCACATGCATAGTTCACAATTGGGCGTGGCCAGTCACCTATCAATCACTTGCTGTCTTGGATGCTTCACCTGACATTATCCTCCTTGCAGTCCTAAGTGTTTATTTAGCTAAAATTTATCTAAGAGAAATTTCTTTAAATATTATTGTATTTTGTTAATATTGTTTATTGTTATTATATATACCAGCAAAGGAAAGAATATACTCCTCTAGAGTAGGAATGCATTTCTTTGCTGAGTTTAAGAGTAATGAAGTTAAAAGTAATGATATACTCAATGAGATAGTAAGTGAAGTATTAATGTTTATAGTCAACATTCCGCATTCATCCTAACATATCCCAGCATGGAGACACGAATTGCACTGATGCCTTGTGTCTTCTTACGGAACTAGAAACATTCTGTAAAATAAAATTAATTTATTGTAGTCTGAAAATGCAGTTTAATCAAAATGATTATTTTTTTCCTATTTTGATGTATTTAATACAGTAGGATGCTAGCATCTGGAGGAGATCCATGTAAATAGGGACATTAGATAGTGCTCATTCGAAGACTTTTGTCTTTGTGTTTCTTACAGATACTCTGTAGCTGGTCTAAGGAAAACATATTTTTATATGAAATTGTGATAGATTGTGTCATGGTCTTGTTATCATATCTTTCATGAACAAATAAAACTGATTTATACATTTGTGTCTTTTAATCTGTAGAGTAGGGCATGTGTTTGCCGAACTCATTGTTGAACAGTTTGATTTTCTTGGTAGAACAGTACCTTGGGCTGGAGCTGGATGTCCGTGATGTAATGGTGTACAGGATACAGTTTGTACCATGATGTTTCACGGACACTAAAGGACTGCTTCCTGGTCGGGTGGATATAATGTCCCGAGCTGATAGTGGGTGGGTGGACCTTGCCGCAGTATACGGGAAGACTTTATAAGATGGTGTATGTTGTTACCCAGCCTGACAGACGGGGTGGACCTTGCCGCAGTATACGGGAAGACTTTATAAGATGGTGTATGTTGTTACCCAGCCTGACAGACGCAGTGAGGGGATAAAACAAGACACAACTCCAGGACCAGGGTGCCGTTGTACAAAGCCACCTTAGCGCTAAAACTACCGTAGTCCATGTTAAGGTATGGGAACTGTGGTCACCTTAGCGCTAAGATCGCTTTGTACAACGGCACCCTGGTCCTGGAGTTTGTGTCTGACCGGGGTATCCATATTAGACTGAAGCACGATACTTCCAGACAAATACCAACAGCCGAACCACAGTGTGTCCACGTCGTGGTGACATTATCTTCAACCCCTTTCACCTCAACTGATCGGGAGTTGCTGGGTCAGTGCAGAGTTGCGTCCCTTAGTCGCTCGTAAATCTAATGATCGTGGAGTCGAATCCCAGACTTGCTCTCAATCTTGGTTTGTTTACACCTTACCTTATTTCTGAAATACCGATTAGTGCGGCCTTAAACCGACCACACAAGAGAACGTAACCACTTCATGGGAATCAGAGAAGCATGATATATTTAGGGTAACACGTTTGGTTGAACGAGCTTCATTCTTTGCTGCATATCAATGTAGAGGGGTTAGCGACTACCCTAAATACATTGACATAATGTGTACTTCACGCACGACAGTACAACAACGACTTGACCAGCACTAGACATCATGTAGAGGGGTTAGCGGCTACACTAAATACATTGACATAATGTGTACTTCACGCACGACAGTACAACAACGACTTGACCAGCACTAGACATAATGTAGAGGGGTTAGCGGCTACCCTAAATACATTGACATAATGTGTACTTCACGCACGACAGTACAACAACGACTTGACCAGCACTAGACATCATGTAGAGGGTTAGCGGCTACCCTAAATACATTGACATAATGTGTACTTCACGCACGACAGTACAACAACGACTTGACCAGCACTAGACATCATGTAGAGGGGTCAGCGGCTACCCTAAATACATTGACATAATGTGTACTTCACGCACGACAGTACAACAACGACTTGACCAGCACTAGACATCATGTAGAGGAGGTTAGGGGCTACACTAAATACATTGACATAATGTGTACTTCACGCACGACACAGTACAACAACGACTTGACCAGCACTAGACATCATGTAGAGGGGTTAGGGGCTACCCTAAATACATTGACATAATGTGTACTTCACGCACGTCAGTACAACAACGACTTGGCCAGCACTAGACATCATGTAGAGGGGTTAGCGGCTACACTAAATACATTGACATAATGTGTACTTCACGCACGACAGTACAACAACGACTTGACCAGCACTAGACATCACGTAGAGAGGTTAGGGGCTACCCTAAATACATTGACATAATGTGTACTTCACGCACGACAGTACAACAACGACTTGGCCAGCACTAGACATCATGTAGAGGGGTCAGCGGCTACACTAAATACATTGACATAATGTGTACTTCACGCACGACAGTACAACAACGACTTGACCAGCACTAGACATCATGTAGAGGGGTTAGCGGCTACCCTAAATACATTGACATAATGTGTACTTCACGCACGACAGTACAACAACGACTTGACCAGCACTAGACATCATGTAGAGGGGTTAGCGGCTACACTAAATACATTGACATAATGTGTACTTCACGCACGACAGTACAACAACGACTTGGCCAGCACTAGACATCATGTAGAGGGGTTAGCGGACTACACTAAATACATTGACATAATGTGTACTTCACGCACGACAGTACAACAACGACTTGACCAGCACTAGACATCATGTAGAGGGTCAGCGGCTACACTAAATACATTGACATAATGTGTACTTCACGCACGACAAGTACAACAACGACTTGACCAGCACTAGACATCATGTAGAGGGTTAGCGGCTACACTAAATACATTGACATAATGTGTGTACTTCACGCACGACAAGTACAACAACGACTTGGCCAGCACTAGACATCATGTAGAGGGGTTAGCGGCTACTACCCTAAATACATTGACATAATGTACTTCACGCACGACAATTACAACAACGACTTGGCCAGCACTAGACATCATGTAGAGGGTTAGCGGCTACACTAAATACATTGACATAATGTGTACTTCACGCACGACAGTACAACAACGACTTGACCAGCACTAGACATCATGTAGAGGGGTTAGCGGCTACACTAAATACATTGACATAATGTGTACTTCACGCACGACAGTACAACAACGACTTGACCAGCACTAGACATCATGTAGAGGGGTTAGGGGCTACACTAAATACATTGACATAATGTGTACTTCACGCACGACAGTACAACAACGACTTGACCAGCACTAGACATCATGTAGAGGGTTAGGGGCTACACTAAATACATTGACATAATGTGTACTTCACGCACGACAGTACAACAACGACTTGACCAGCACTAGACATCATGTAGAGGGGTTAGCGGCTACACTAAATACATTGACATAATGTGTACTTCACGCACGACAGTACAACAACGACTTGACCAGCACTAGACATCATGT